TTTTAATCTTGCTCCAACACCTAAAATACTACTCTAAAGAGATAAGTACTTTAAGAAAAAAATTATAATCAATTTCAACAAAGAATAAGAAAAATACAATTAAGAATAGACATAAATCAAATGATGGGAATAATGACAAAACTCAAAAAGTAAAAATAATAATAAAAAGAATTATTGAGAAAAAAAGGAAGTTAAAAAAACTAATGAATAGTTCAAGATCAAGAATACTAATTAATACAAAACCAAAGCTAAATTGAACCAAAAACATTTGAATACACCATGACAATTGCAATATAATGATTAATTTCACTTTTAAAACTTTGAATTTAACTTAACCTAACAAAACTAATTTAAAATATGATATTTTCACTTAGTATAGTTTGATCTCTATTCTTACAAGGTCTAGTGTATCCTGTGAAGACTCTTCAAATACTTTCTAGCAAAGACTCTTTAATCTTCAAATCGAGATGTTAAAAGTCCACACCTCTTCAAGACGGAGAGGGGGTGTGCCTACAGAAGATAATTTGACATCCAAGTTAGTCGAGTGCATTAGATAAATGAACACAAACTGTTTACCTCAATGATTGTGCTATTTATAGGATAATTAAAATGTTTGTGAGTCATCACTTATATGGGCCTAGGTAGGTCTAATGACTCATTTATCTCATGAGTTAGTTGTTTGATCTAGATTATGCTAAGTTACATAGTAATATGCCATTAACTTTGTTAGTTTGAAAGGTAGTTAGACAGGTCAACTGGTGGTCGAGTAGATCACCATTAGCTTCGGTAGACGATACATGATACTGGTAGAAGACATGCAGTCCGACAGGTGGCACCTAGTTATCAACATACAACACTCAGTCCTGGTTGGTAACACATAGTCCTTAGCAAGTGACACATGACACTCAGTAGGCAACACATAACCTTCGACATGTAACAATCGTCCTTTGACATGCAACACATTACCCTTAGTAGGCAGTGCTTAACCTTTGGCATGTGACACATGACCCTTAACAAACAATGCTTAACTTTTGGCAAGTAACACTCGACCCTCGACAAGTGGTATACAAGCCTCAATACGCAATATATAGGTCTCGACAAGCGACATGTAAGCTCGACAAGCGATATATAAGTCTTGGTAAATAACATATAGATGAGACATGATATATTTTGTACTAAGTCATCTTAGAACAAGATCAAATTTAGACTGAAGAATAATTCACCTATAGTAAAATCTTATTTAAAATCAGTTATATATATTTGATGAACTAGTTTTTTCTCCCATAAAATCAACTCTGTGAAAAGAAAAACATATTCAAACATAACCCACACTTAAAAAAGAAATAGTAGAATCAATTAAAGTAAATAACCAAGAACGAAACCATTCTCATTGATCTTATGGACGGTCGAATTTGGAGCTATTAGATGCTTTGGTGCATGGAATGGGAATCTATATTATCTTTCTCTTAGCTCCTGAAAAAACCAACTTTCTAGGATGCCCCAAAAGTGCAAAAAGAAAAGAAATCAAGATAAAAAAAAGCTGAAAATAATTATTGGTCCCTATAACAAATCTTCTGGCGTAAAAGCTACGAAATAAACTATATAACTTGGGCCAAAGTGTCTCATCTAAAGCTGAAATTAAATTCCCAGAAATTCCACGATTCATCAATTTATCATAAGTAGGGTTATCATGTGGGTGTTTATTTCTTCAAAAAAACAAAGGTAAGGCATACCAATTAATAAATATGTATTATTAATATTATTTTTTTATTCTTATTAATTACTAATTTGAATAATCAATTGTCCACCAAAATCAACCAACAAAAAGCAGATTTTTTTCTTGGTGCCATGACCTACTTTTCATTGTGCAGCATAATGGTCCCTTTCCTACTCTAAAATTCCATTTTTTTTATAAAATTATTATATTACATAAGTGGTGTTTGCCAAAAGAAAAAAAAAATCTACACTTTTCTCAACAGCTGGCCCTTATATCTTTATAATTTGTCCTATACATTAGAACATCACTCTTGTGAGGGAAAAACCACATGGAAAGAGATGGCGAACAATGCCTAATTATTTTTGCATTATGCAGCAAAAGACAATTGTTTTCAAGGATTCAATACACATCTTTTGTCATCACCTGCACCGTTAGATTTAGATACATGCAAGAAAAGGGTCAAACTAATTTTATATTCTATTAATCCAACACACCGTTAACATGAATGAATAATTACTCTATTTTCTTACTATTATTATTAAATAAGAAAATGAGATACAACTTTAGTAAGATTAAAGTTAAACAACAAAATAAACCAGCTTTACTTATTTCTAGAATGAAATACACATTAAAGAACATTTGGGCAAAAAACTTATTCAATGTTATAAAAACTTTTTGTTAAAGGGTGAAGGAAAGCAAAGGTAAGTAAGTATATTGTTTGCCTCAAACATCCAAAAGCACACAATTGACAGAATATTCTATATCCCAAAATCACCCACTTGCCACATGCAAAACCAAGTGCCAACATTTCTCAAAAGGGTAGCTTTAAGAGGAGCATGGGCAAAGATAATGCTTGTAGAAAAATTAAAAAAACATAAATTGTTCACAAAAGATATACTGATTTATCACATGAATTCAATACCAATTAGATATGAGTCAAATAGACTGAAAAAACCAATTATTCTTAATCCAAAACTTTAACATAAAAGATTTATGAGTTATATATATATATATTTTTTAATTCTTATGAGATTTAAACTCATTTGAATTCTTAATAATATTTCTGAAAAATAAATTTTGAATTTAAAATGAACCGTACATGAACATTTAAAAACACAGGTTGTTCTAAACAAAGTTACTTCTAGAATTGGATAAAATTGCATACACTTTTTCATGCTCATTATTAAGGGTTCAAACTAATCATAAGTTCTCAACTACCAATTCTTCACATATGATGCAAAATCTTGAGCACTTTACTTGCTAAATAATTCAACTTTGGAATCATTTGGATTATAGTGAACATTACTAACCTATGAAATTATGATGCCTAATATACCCACCAGAAAAAGTATGATGCCTAGGGTTATTAGCATGAGTTATGTTTTGGTAGCCTTGGTTAGTCAAATGTCTGTATTTCAATTTCAAGACAAGTGTGTTAGGGAAGATCTTAAACAAATTATTTTTTTATTAATTCATTTTGATTCAATTATTTCAAAAAAATCATAAATTGAACCAAATGAATCGAATCAAGAGAGGGTTGATTTGATTTACAAAATTGAATCCTTGTTCTCATATAAATGTATGAAATAATATGTTAAAAAATGAATTTATTAAAAACAATATATTATGCTAAAATTCTTTTATATCTGCTTAATAATGAAAAAATAATTTTGAAAAATAATTATTAAATCGTAAAACACCGTATATAATAGTTAATAATAAAATTAATTAATATAATTGATTTAGCGTATACTCATCTGTTAGATACAAACCTAATTTTCAAACCCACACGTTTTATTGATTTTATTAAAATTTTAATCGATTTAACTAATTTTATTTGAATTTTTAAATTAACTATACTAATTCAAATTGATAAATATTCTAATTATAGTCTCACACCTAAAAAAATACATTAAAAAACATCAAGTTAAAAATCTTTGAAATGGGCACTGTCCATCCAATTTGGTCTTTGTCATTAAGAAAAAGCAAATTTAATCCTTAATTTTGATAACTAAAAGTTAGTTTAGTAAATGATGTTGTGAAAATTAGTTGTTAGAACAGTTAATGTAGCAGTTTAAAACTGAATTTTCTCCTTTTGAATTAAACAGTGCGGATTTCATTAACCAATGTTTTACCCATGAGGGAGGTTTTGGGCCACTTAACAAGGCGAAGTCCATTAACTGAGAAAAGTAAGTTTAGGATTTCTATTAGCACACCCTCTTTCTCTATTTTTAAATTTTCATCCATCAAAATTACCCTTTCTATTTGTGCCATGTCAAGGTTAGTAGTAGTTTCTTTATTTACTTAGAAATTTGCTGCCTTTATTTATATTCATTCAATGACTTTTTTTTTAATTAGATTGATTTTTTTATTTGATTAATTCGTGAATTTCAATTCCAATACATTTGATCCAACCTATTTAATATTTTCGTAAATAAGATAATGACATTTTTTTTATTTGACTATATTATGAACAATCACTTTTTTTTCATTTCCCAAAATGATAATTATATACAAAATAATACGTTACTGATAAAAGTGCAATATATATATAATATATATATTTTGTTTACAAATATGAAGTAATATTAAAAGGTATTTATCATGAAAAAAAATTACCTTTAAAAAGTATATTTTAAGATATTTTCAATTCAATAATTCAACTCGCCCCAGATAATTAGATAGAATTGCTAAATAAAAAAGATAAGTTAAACCCAACCCATTTGAATAGGTTTCTGAGTAAGCGTTATTGAATTTCTTTTTGTCACCCTTTGTTTATTCTGAAACCAAAAAATACAATTACAAAAATTCAACCCTAAATAATTAAGAAACGCCCCCAACAAATTTAATCTCGCATATCAGTTTTGATTTGCCAACAGCATTGTTCAATTAATCTGCCATTTGTTCACCAAATGTCCCAAAGCTAGTTTAGGCATATACAACAGTTCGTACACAATTGTTTGTCTATATTTTTCTATCATTCAAACATAACGAATTATGTGTAGCAAAGTGGTAGATAAACAAAATTATTGTCCGAATTGTTCCATAAATTGTTATAAACATAACATTTCTCAAAACTAAAAATGGTGAAGAGGTTGCTTTGAAGCAGTTGTCAGATAGTGCTGTCATAGGTACAGACTTAAAGAGACAAAAGGAGTGTGTTAACATTTGCCATTCTTTGGAAAGGCACATCCAATCTGATTCAAAGGTACTTAATGGATTAACCTTGTACTGTTGTACAATGATCAACATACACAATAGTGGATTTGCTAGAGGCTAAGGCAAAACATTCAAATGTACGTAACATTAGATTAGATACATGATATGGGGGAACGCAATCAATGTACGTAATCCCCATAGTTAATTCGTTATCCTAAACAAAAAGACTGAAAACTCTAGTTTGTTTGAACTACAGATTGATTAAGAACACTACTAAAATACTTTAAAAGACCAAAATAATGTATACATGTTGAGATATCCAGTGCTCCAATAGACTGGGAAAAGGAAGAGGAAAGTTTTGCAGAGTACTGGCAACTATATAAGGTAACTGTTATTGTACAAAAGAAAAAAGATTGTCTTCATAAAATTTTACCTGCACCCTTTTTCTTCATCAGGTGAATTCACCATCATGAAATCTTTAGTCAGATCACTAGCTACCCTGAAAGAAAATACAAGATATTATTACCAGATGCCACAGAGCTGTCAACTATGCCAGAAGATAAATTGAAGATTGTGGAAGATGTAATGAAGTACCTCATGAAATTTGATAATGTCAATTGAAGGCCCCTCCAACTTTTAACAAATGACAACAACCAATTGAGGAAAAGAAATGAACTACAGTATGACAACACTTAGCCAGCGACCTTAATTGCTCCCAATTCATCAATTTTTGAGCTCTTGTGCTGCAATGATATTAAGAAAATCAATAGAGAAGTTCACGTGAGATTGGACATGATCAACCACAGAGAAGAGATGGACATTTCAGAAATGTATAGAAAAGAAAAAGAAGAAAATAAAGGTTGAAAGCTTAATCTCCAGACAAAGTGTTTTCCTTTATTACCTTACTCCTTTTGTGTTTGTGCACATCATTAACATCATCATCTCCATCATGCTTCCTTTTCTGAAATATAGTGAGTTAAAAAAGATTAATAAATACAACCAAGTTTTTGCAACATGTCCAGGTAAAATGTGGAGCAAATCCCCTTTTAAAATGCTAACATCAATTGAGACAGATGTCAATAATCAGATCATAAATCACAAAACAATTTAATGACCTTTAATCATCACTAAAAAAAAAAATTGAGTTAATTTGCAAGGTTATGGAAGGACTTTTAGAACCATTTTTATTCTCAATTTGAACACGAGGCCATCTAAAATTTCTCAACCTTTTCATGGTGTTTCTTTGAGTGATCAGCACTGGAATCACGATGTCCACTTTTATCTTTCTTTTTGTCCCTATCCTTGTCCTTGTCTTTGTCTTTGCTTCGGTCTTTATGACGATGCTTGTGCTTCTTATGCTCCTTGTCCTTATCTTTGTCCTTGTCTTTGTGCTTTTTATGCTTCTTCTCCTTGTCTTTGTTATCACTTTTTGATTTTCCTGAAATAGTAGGAATCCCTTTCTCCGCCTATTAGGGGGAAAAACAAGGAATAAGTGCATGTATATGTCAAAAAAGGACAAACTCAGCTGATTTTTAGAAGAAGAAATGGTAGCATATCAATTAATTTTATGCAACAAAAGCAGATTAATTAGGATAAAAATCAGAGAAAACTTCTTACAGCGGGCAAGTCAACGGGAGCTGTTTCCCTTAGTTGAAAAGCCTCCTTGAGAACATCTAGGTCAAAAGGCTGAATACGAGCATTTGTATCTCTAAAGGAGGATGTATACTGAATAAGTTGATCCAATTGCATCCCATCTCCTTTTCTTATTTCTGTGTCTCCTACAACATTGTGAAGGTAGTGTGTGTCCGCAATAGGAACAGGGAGAGGCCTCTTGCAGAAAAACTCATAGTGGGGTAGTAATTTGAAATGACTTATAAGATCCACAGCACCTGTCAATTCTCTTGGTCCTAATGGTTCAAAAGACAATATTATAGGACAAAAAGAAACACATGAAAGCTTACGGTAAAAGTTGAAAACGGGATGCTTGCATGGTAATTTTTGTAAGACAACGGAACAAATTCTGAATAGATGTCTAGAGCATTATAT